CAGAATATAATACTTTGGATGTTAAAACATGTCCTCAGAGCTGTTTATTGTATTGGCAGGTTATGGAGTCACAGCATGTTTCGGCTAGAATGAAACGCAGGGCGGCGGTCCGTTAGCAGTTCCCCGCCGAACACGACTCCAGCTCAGGCACGAGAACTTGCGCCGTTACGGTGGAAACAGAATTACAGAGACTGGTCGATTACACGTGAATTACTTCTGTTTAATGTTGAATTTTTCTTCTAATGTTTGTTAAACGAGTTTAAATATAGGCAATATGTATAGTCTATTAAAACGTTATAAACAAGGCTGTAAATGATAAATGAAGGACAATAAAGGAAGTTATCATGCAAACCAGTGGTTGTGTGGAGTATTTTAGAAAGGTTTAGAGGATTTAAGTTAATCTGTAAACATTATTTAATGTATGAAGTAAAAAATAAGCTAGTAATATAGTAAAAATAAATAAACCCATTAGCTGGGTTAAATCAATCCATTATGCTGGGTTAAATAAACAACCTTGCTGGGTTAATTTAACCCAAGATGGGTTCTGTCCTATATTTACCCAACCCTCGGCTTAATAACAACCCAGATTGGGTTGTTTTTAACCCAGTGTTTTTTTTAGAGTGTAGAGTATTATTAGACTGTTAGTTTAGGGTTAGAAGAATAAGTTGACATGCACTTGCAAATTTACTTATAGAATGTCTAAAGTGGACTATCAAAATAATCGTTACCAAATTTACAATATATTAACTTTTAAAGATACTTTCAAATAATATACCACAGTTAAAATTGTAATCAATTACTTTGCTTTTGCTTTAGTATGTTGGGCAACACATCAAAATAAGCGTACATCTTTAAAGTATGACAAAACATTATTAAAACAATGATTTAAAAATGTGCTTTAAAGTCAATTTTAATTTTACATTATTACAAAGTGCGCTTTTTAAAAGACATTTCATGAAATCATACTCTTTGAAATCGTAAGTACACTCATGTGGCTTTTATTTAATTGATTTATGTTATCTGCAAGTACAGTTTTCATGTACAGTACAAGTGCATGTTCAATAAGTGCATTTCTTCTTCACACGGGTGATAATGTAAATGCAAATAATGTAAAGTGTTACCAATAGCTTGGTTTCATGGAATATGTTATCAAATTCTAACATTGGAGCCACAGCAATGTACTAGTTAGTATAATCATGGTGGACCTAACACATGTGCACAACTCATTTGTTACTCCACCTACCTTCTCTTGGTTTCTGTGTAGATCTGGGCTGCTGGGTGGTCAGAACGGCAGTGCAGGAGTCGGCAATCCTGGTGCACGTGAAACACAGAGTGTAGCGGCAGTCGTCCGAGCAGATGAGACAGCAGCCGTCCAGACAGAACTGACAGCACAGGTTACAGCAGCGGTCCACACAGGGCTCGTCCCGGTGACAGTTGTCCCCACAGCTTTCCCTGCACTCAGGACAAGGGCCGGACAATCCACAGCAGTTTTGTCCCATGTCTGCTTGAGTTAAACAGTCTCTGCTGATCACAGCAGCCCTCTGACCAAAGAGAATCCCAGATCCCAGACACATAATAAGTGCGTTTATGAGTGCGTCATTAGGGGACTGCGTGAAAACGCCAATTTGTCTGCTCATTTTAACTTTCCATGAGCTGAAGAAAGGGATGACAGGCTGTTTGTTAACAGTGAGCTTATAAGCCTCAGGGTGGCCCGGGCCGCTCCTCTTTCTGTGCTGAGTCAATTATACAGTGTCCCGTGATTAGCAGCTCAACAGAGAAGAGTGTTGAGTCTGTCTCCCCTCAGGACGACTGTGGATTGGCTTGCAAAACAGTTGCTTGGGAACTCTGTTCTGTGTGCTTGCGTAAATGCATTAGCTAAATGTCCTAATTTTAACAAATGTAGCATAATAACCCACAAGAGACGTCACATTTGAACCAGTCTATATGGGCTGCTTTATCTTATAACAAGCAAGCCTGCGATAATGACGACTTGGGGGACATTTATTCATCTTTGGCACAGAACAATGTCAGCAAAATGTATGGGGCACGGGACGTTTTCTAGTCCCGGCTGCACATTTTTATGTCTATGTAAACTATGTTGACTCGTTGTTGTTTTAAGTTGGGGTTAATGACTTTTTTTGGTGTGTGAAATGATAACAATGAAACCTCGAATACTACAATTTTCTGTATCTGCCAAGGTTTAGAATGACCAGCTTTGTTAATACATTCATTAGGATTCTAAATTACTTAATCATTAAATTAATACACAATCATTACATACTTTTTTTTGCATTTCTTTAATATATTGAATATTTAGCTGCCACATTTTAAACAGAGCCATAGAGAATATTTTACACTGAAAAGCAAGTAACTACCACATATAAAAGATTGTAAACGAATCATTTATCAAAGGATGAGAGGCGACTTATGTTGCATTCAATTTCTATGTTTATTAGTTCATGCTTTCCTCTGAGAATCAAACCCTTGATGTTGACGTTGCTAGAATATCAGTGAGTCAGTTATTCTCATGTCAGCCCCACATCAGTAGATTCTGTTTTTTTTTTTATCAAAGACATAAATGTATTTTGACACAATATAACTGTGGAACATCAAGATCAGAACTACCATTGTGAAAAAGAAGAACACTTTTAGCATACTTTTAAAAAGAGTACTTATTGTGGAAATAATATAATTCAAAATAATATACTTACAAAATGTGAACTGAATGTCATGTTTTCAGACAATTAAATGAAAATTTATTATAGTTTAAGTTTATATTAAATGCAACTAATTGAACTTAAGAGTATATTTTTGACGTACTTTAAAAGTAATTTGACAATTACTTCGGTTGTATTTGAAATATGATTAAAGTGAACTGCTGAATAAATTTATGATAATTTCTATTGAAACATGCCGGCCCAAAGCATAAGCGAACTAAGCGGCTGCTTAGGGCCCCCCTGACCACCAGGGGGCCCCCAAGAGTACATGAAATGACAGCTTGATTTTGATTAATTTTTATTTATACATATATATTATTTTTTCCTCTTTTTTTTTCTTTGTCCTTTGATTAATAGACATCACAGCAGCTGGTTATTAGGTTGCTTTGGCTGCTATTTCTTTAAGAGCTGCCGCTGCTGAACGTGACGCGGATCTGACACGCATCATATTTTCTCATATACAATATTCTCATATTCATATTTTCTCATATACCACTCTTTTCCAGGGCCCCAAAACACCCTCGGACCCCAGAGGGTTAAACTGGAAGTAGCTGGTTTTAGCTGGTTGTTCCAGCTGGTCTCTCAGCCTGACCAGCTAAATAAGTGGCCAAACCCCTCTAAAACAAGCCTGCTGACCAGCTACTACGGTACACTTATAATAAGTACTTATATTTGGACTATTGTAGTCTGGTCGGGTCGTCACCGCTGCGGTTTCACTAAGCACGCATAAACGTTGTTTTGTCAAAAACACAATCACGTACATACATGCTGCTCACATATTATTGTAGCACAGTTTGTGCTGATTACAGTGTTATTAAACTTTAGACATTCAAATGTTTGTAAGCAACTGAAAAAAGCACAAATGTCAGGGCATGTCAAAACTTTTCCAGGGCCCCGTGTGTATTTAACAAACTATAAATGTCTTTTTTGCTAGTACTTAATTGAAATGTTTATTTAAATGTCTGAAACCTAAAATAAACTTTATGTGGTTGAAAACACTGAACAGTTCTGATATAAAGCACTGAGCGCTTCTGTCTCTGGCTCAGTGCCAGCCAAAGCGCGGTGCATCAAAGGGTTAAAATTGATTATAATATAATATTTTACTTAGCTAGTTTTAGATTAAAGTTTGTGTCGTCTGTGTAAAACTTTCCTGGGTATATATTTTTTAATAATGTTTAAACTTCTGTTTCATAAACTTGGTATTTACCTTAGGTTATAGGGTCTTTGCTATTATATTTTAATATCATTATGCCTCAGTTAGCTAGTTATAGATTAAGAGTTGTTGTTTTAGATGTAGCCTACATATGACTTCCTTCTGTGTTTGATCATTTATGTTATTAAATTAACATTTTGTTCCATAAATGCATTGTCTGCTGGTTTATATAGCTACTTTTCAGTACATCACATTAATTATGCCACTTAGCACTGTATGGCTTTGAATGTTAAAGTGCAAATGAACACCTGACCACTCTTGTGGGTTTGCTACTGTTACAATTAAAAATCATAGAAGGGTAAAAACATGCCAGGTAGACATTGGTATGATGTATGTAACACCGCCACAACAAATAAAATTGATAATGGGTGTGCTAGATTTATAGTGTGCGAATAATCAAGCATTGACAATAATCAGGCATATTGGCTGATTATTGCCAATAATCAGCCCCCCAAATAAGTTAGTCAACATAAAAATTGGTCTACTTCTTTAAAACAAGACAAGATTATTAAAACACGATTTAAAATGGTTAAAATGATTTAAAACATTTAAAGTAAAACTTTTAATTTAACACTTTCAAAGTGTATTTTTTAAATGTGTACTTAAGTGTGTTAAACAGTCATGAAAGTGTACTCTCTTTAAAAGTGGCCTTTTACTTCAGTAATATTATTTGCAAAAACAGTTTTTTTAAAATACAGAGTTCTGGCATGAAACTCTAGATGGCGCAGTCTGATAGGTCTAGCTCAATCTGACCTGGCGACATCATTGTCACATGGCAGCTGATTGGTTCTCTCCTGTATCGGTAGCCAATGAGCTTACTGCTCAATATTCACTTGCTCTGCAGCAGCGCAGCAGATCTATTCCGCCAAGACCAAATACATTGACATTGTCATGTACATTACCATGCCAATCCCTCCGAGAGCTGTCATGACACAAATATACTTTTATGATTTGAAATACACTACAAGTGTACATTTAACACAATTAAGTGGCCTTCTTTTTCAGAAGAGGCAGTTTTCTAATGTCATCTCATACCAGTAGATTTTGACAGATCTTCTTTATGCACCAAGAGCTTGTAACGCTCCAAAGAGAAAGGAAAAAATGAAATCGCATCATATGACCCCTTTAAATCAAAGACGTGTATTTTGACAATATAACCATGAAACACTAAATCCAGACATAGACCCTTAAAACCCCTATTTAAACTGCCAAGTTTCGTTCAGTGAGGACATACACCATAACCAATAGCAATTTGGCATCAGTGACCCCAAGATCAAGACTCCAGCTCAGGTGATAAGAGTTTGAGTGGAGTGCTGACATATTCACTTTTTGAGTGGTCTCCTTTGTTTAGCTGCTTTGATATTTGTAACTGCAGTGATACTTTGATCAATGATGGCGAGATAAACAAAATTTAGAGAATTTGGAAATGTCACGACGCTCATTTAAAAGCCTTTTAATCTTTAAAATTGTGTGGAAAATTAGATATTCATCATGAAAAGCTAGAGGTGACCGTTCCCACACACCTCAGTCTGAGACACACATACACAAACAGCCTTTCCACACAGTTCACAAATCAACACACAAGAACATGACAAGTGAATCACTATAAAGCCGAAGTGACCTTGACTTCCCCGGTAGCACAGTGCGAGCAGTAAAAGCATGTAGTGTGCTACTGTGGGCCCTAGGGCTTCCATTAGTGAATGACATGACACATCTGTGAGATACGAGGGCATGCAGGAGATGATGGAGGCCAGCTGACAGGTCTCAGCATAGCAGCCTCACATTTGCAGTGGACTCACCTGTATAAATGCCTGTGCATCACATTCACATGGGAATAAATCACAGCTCTGTCTCATTATCTTATTCATGCTGTAGGGAACTGCACCCAGTGGTGACTCCCGTTTATCCAGCTCTCTCACAACGTTACACTGTGTCTACACAGGCAGCGGTGTGCCAAGGGGCGGATCTCTGATTTCATGACTACATACATTACAGCATGTTAAAAAAAGACAAAATGTCAACACACTGTTGCTTCCAAATGTAATATAGCAGTGTGTTCTTTTCTTATTTCACTCGAGCTCCTGTATTAGCTATTAGCATAACTTTGGATGTACACTATTTACTGCATGTTGAGGGCAGGGAAATTCTTCAGGAAATTTTCAGGCAATTATTTTTGTTTGAAGCCACAGAGAAAAGTTTTCTCCCTTGGATTAATTCCCGCTATTGGTAAAATGCTTTGGATAAAGGTGTCTGCTTAATGAACATCTAAATGGTTCAGTGATCAGATCACCAAACGTTATAGACCCCTGTGTTTAGAGCCGTCCATTTGTGAACAGTTCATCCGAGATGGATGTTAATACTCAGAGACCAAGTGACTACCAATGGAAGCACAGAAAGAAAAAAATATTTGAAAGAATATAGTTAAGTGCAAACTGAATGTAATGTTTTTTGACATTTAATCCCAATTAAATCATTTAAATTTAAATTAGGCAGTTAGTTGAATTTAACAGTAACTAAAGTATACTTTAATGTCATTTCTAATGAACCTTGTATGTCAGGTATTTAAATATATTTGTTTTTACACATTTCTAATGATGAAGTTGAAATTTAGTAGATTTAAATGTTTTAATTTAAATGTAATAACACAAAATACTATGAAAACCTAATGGTTTAAATGCATTTTAAAGTAAAACTTTTAATTTGACATTATTAC